GGTCTGGCTTGGACTTGCACAGAATTGTGCACGCTGTCACAATGACTGTGAGTTCACATGTCCTACCTATCCTGTTGTGCACAGTAGACACTGTTTCTCTAAAGTTATCTACAACCTTTAATTCTTACTGTCATTCCACATTCCTTTCTGCAATGATACCCAAGTCTTTTGAGTATGGGATGTGATAGAGACATCCCGTTTAGGAATAAGCATCATGCCGTCTCTTACTCTCCTCACCTGGACAGTCATGTATTTCTATTTTAGTCATTATCTACTGCAAATAGGAGTTTTTCCAATGAGGATTGAGAGAGGCATTAATGTATTCATACAGCAAGTTGTTAGGAATTAGTTTAATACTCTGTTCATTTGGGAGAGTTAAAGCCATAGTTTTCTTCTAGGCCATATGACCTGTCTTGCTAGGGGTTTCTTAGCTTAATAATTGTTGTAGGCATGCATTTCAACTTGTGATTCAGGAATGAAATTCAATCATAAAGTGTTTGGTTATTCCTATGTTGTTGCATCACTATTACACCAATGGGCATGTCTAGGTCAGTCATTCTTCACAGTGTCATATCTGGGTATGATTACTGATTACTTTTTTCTCATTAGTGTAAAAAAAAAGGTTTCCTACACTATGAAAGTTATCCAGTAGGAACAAAGTTTCCAGGTCAGTACAAACTTGATTTCTCTGTCAGGCTCTGGAGGCTAACTAAGACCAATGGCAATTCCAATGCCATTTTTTTTGTTTCAACTGCTACAATTAGACATTCTTAGTTCTCAAAGATGTTTTTTGGTGTTGTCAGTGGTGGTAGTGGGGATTTTTTTTGTTTTGACTTGCATGGGTCTCACAGGGTAGCCCAGGCTAGCCTCAACTCATGGCCTCACGTTGGCAGCAATCTTCTCTCTTGGCTTGAAGGAGTGGTAGAATTATTGTTTCACATTATTACAGATAAAGCTGAAATTTCCACAAAATTCTTCTATAAATTATACTCACCTTCTGTAGACTCCTACTATCTATGAACTCATGGAATTGATTAATCTCAATATGTGTGTAAACCTCTCATATGATTCAACTATCTAGACTTAAACACAGGGTTCATTTTTCCTCAGAAACATACCAGGCGGGCCTGGAACCCACAGAGATCTGCCTGCCTCTGCCTCCTGAGTGCTGGGATTAAAGGCATGCTCCACCAATGCCTGGCTGAAATCTTAATATTTCATGTTGGGTCATATTGTTTATTGCTATTCATTTCAATGAACTGGTCATTGTTTAAATTCTTATTTCCTTCATTTCAGAGGAAGTAAATACATTTTTGGTTGAATATACTGCTGTTGTATGGAATAGTCTTTAGCAGCACAGGAATTGATTTTGAGCCCCTGTATCAGTGGACTAATCACTCAGTTGACTTTTCTGAGGGAGTTAACTTAATACACCAGGGATGGAGAGTGGGGGCAAGA